GCCTTCCAAGTAGCTGGAACTACAGGCACGCGCTACCACGCCCGGCTCATTTTTTGATTTATTGTAGAGATAAGGTCTCGCCAAGTTGCCCAGGTAGGTCTCGAACCCTCAGCCTTAGGCAATTCACTCACCTCAGCCTCCCAAAGCATGGGATTACAGGCTGAGTCACTGAGCCCGGCTTGGATCTCTTTTATATTCTAGAGTTCCATATCAATTTGAGGTTGAGAAAACGGAGCTTGAAAAGCATTAGTATAAAAGGTATACATTACCAGCAAGAGCTTGCATCTCTTTCCAGCTAGAAATGCTTCTGGGATGTGGCCAGGGAAGGATTGGGTCCGCATCGGTCACCCTTCTCCTGTACTCAGAGACTGAGAAGTGTGGGTGTTACTTCTGGGAGCTGGGAGCAGGTGGAGGCGAGGATGCTGCCAGCTGCGGAGGAGGCCACGGGGATTCTGCAGCCTGCCCACAGCCCTCCTCGCTGCTTCCTCCTGGAAGCAGCCATGGGTACCACCCGCGGTGAAACTCTGTTGGCTAGATAATCCCCTCCAGAGCTGAGAGCAGGAGCCAGGGAATACTGTACCAAATACATTATATAGGCACTGAAGCCAGGAAGACCCCATCACAGAGATGTGCGTGGGAGGAGCTTTGTAGACAAGAAGCCCGTGTTCCCATCACAGAGCTGTGATTTCCAGAAGACAGCGGAGCTAAATTTGCAAATGTGTCCTGAGAATGGTGTTGATGCCCTTCCATGGTGAGGGCTGGTGTGGTGGGATTTGCCCACCACAATTCTGCATCCAGTTCACAGATGGATTTTGCATTCCAGAGGAGCGTCTTCATTCTGAAATTTGATCAATAGGACAGTTATTTCAGCGATTTCATTCTAGTGCAGAAATTCCCCTTTGTCCTGTTCTCTGGCCTTGCATTAGTGTAGTGTGTCCCTGTGCTCCAGGCTGTCACACACACAATGGGTCATATGTGTGGTGAACAATGTGGACTAGCACCAGCATGCCAGGGCAGTGGGGGCTGGCAGGCACAGCCCATTCCATCCTGGGGAGAGCAGGGAGCCTACAGCACTGTAGGAGGGAACAGGAATCCAGGGAGACTCAGAGGCCCCGTGGCAGCAGGGGTCATGCTTGTGCTTTGCTGTATAAAAACACTCTCAAATGTATAGAAAAACTGCAGTCACTGACTCTCCGTAATGCCAGCATTCTACTTCCTCTCCCCTAAAGTATTGAAGATATCCCAGAAAGCTGGATGCCTGTGAAGTGCGTACTTTCTGCATTCTGAACGGCTCTTTTGTGCCTGCTTTTCTCATAATAAGCCAGAGTAGGAAGAACATTCTCAGGGACAGGGTCAGGGGTAGCTGCCTCACCTATTTATCAGCGGGTGGAAGGAGCAGTGCAGAGGGCAATGTCTGTCTGTGCCCGAGGGTTTACTTGTGTAGTGTTTTCAGGGCAGGAAGTTATCTATCTCATGCTAGTTACAAGACAGTCCACATCCCTCTCCTCTGCCTTGGAATCAACCTCAAGGTCAGGGTGGGGAGCCCTGCCTAGGCTGGAGGGCCTTAAAGCCCCCTCCACCTACCCCTGCAGCCCTTGCTTAACTTTACCCTGGGTTTCAGGGAGAAATCTGCCCCCATATCTAGATAACTGCAGATAAGAAAGAACAGAGTCTCAAATCCCTGGCATCACAGAGAAGCCAGGTAATGACCTTGTGGTAACTCATGTTGTCATGACATTGATGGGATAGACTGAAAGTCAGCCGTTTGGGGTGATCTCCACCTTCCCCTGGAATCTCAAGCAGTGCCCGAGGTCAGGTTTGGATGGGGAACTCTTACAAGTACACACTGAAGCCAGGCTCGGTGGCTCAGCCTGTAACCCCGCACCTTGAGAGGCTGAGGTGAGTGGATTGCCTGAGCTCACTGGTTTGAGACCCACCCGGGCAACTTGATGAGACCTCATCTCTACAATAAATCAAAAAATTAGCCGGGTGTGGTAGCGTGCGCCTGTAGTTCAGCTACTTGGAAGGCAGAGGCGGAAGGATCTCCGGAGCCCAGCAAGTCGGGGCTGCGGTGGCCAGGAGCGTGTCACTGCAGTCTTGGTGTCAGAGTGAGACTCCAACTCAAAAAAAAAAAAAAAAAGTACACACTGAGTGTGTGAGGATTCAGGAAGTTCAGAGGCCCCAAAGGCTTCCCAGGAGAAGGGCTGTAGGAGGGCTCCGAGTCCTGTGAAGTTACCCACCTGTGACACCTGCCCGTGTACACATACCACTCAGCTGTTACTCGGGAAGGGGTGCAGGGTGTGGAGAGGCACAGACGTATACAGCAGCTCACTGCCAGGAAGCCCTTGGCCAGGCTGCTTGACCTGTGCAAGTGATGAGTGAGGAGGGCACACACAGAGTTAAGCCCCGCTCTGGATTCACCTGCCTTCTCCACAAAGAGCTCACAGCGCCTCCACCGAGAGATCTGAGCTGGCTGGGCCACTGGCAGACGTGACTGTGCTGGCCCACAGCATAACCTGCCCTGGCAGGGAGTCGTGTGTGTCTCAGAGGAAGCAGGATCTCACCCACTCCACGCCCACAGACATCTGTTCACATCCCGGTGCTGCATTTACTGTCTGGGTTTCCCTGGACAAGTCACTCCCTCTTTCTGTGCCCCAGTTTCCCATCTACACTGGAAACCACGATGTCTACCTCACAGGAAGCCCCCACGCAAGGCCCTCCCCCGTGCCTGGTGCGATCTAGGCATGGCATCAGCCAGGTCCCTTTCCCAAGCCTCTGGCTCCTCCCCACTAAGGTTCATGTGCTCTGACGGGGTTGCTATTTTGTGTGGCTTTAGACTCTGACTGCTCGGCCTTTCTCCCAGAACAAGGAGAGAGCATTGCTGCAGCCTCGCCTGGCATGGGCCTCCCATGGGGCTGCTACTCAGTGAACCCAGAAGGATTTCTTGCCTGAATGAGTGCATGCACGAACAAGCAGAGCATTCTCCTTGGCTTACCATCTTAATAAGATAAACTCCTCACTGGGGAAATACCATTGTAAAGTATAGAAGAAATGGAACTGTCACTTGGAACAATGTGAAAGCACATATTAAAATCACGGAGGGGTTGCCCTTCCTTCTAGAGGGCCCTCCAAGGGATTGGGAGCATGACCTGCCTGTGGTGTCCCAGAGGGATGTCAGTGTAGCCCACAGCCAGGTGCACCCTGAGTCCTGATGGGGCTGGGGTCAGGCATGTGTGTCATCTTTGCAGACTGTGACAGGAGTGGCTACTGTCTGGCCCTGGCCTCCAATTCCCCCAGGACCCAGATGCACCCTCAGGACCTCGGTCCCCAGCGCCATACTCTGCAGTAGGAGGCACTGAGCAGCGCTGATCCTGACTGTGCCTGTGGTATCCACCTTACCCAAGGTGCTGAGTTCCAGCTGTAGGTCCTCCTATGACCAGAGATGGCCAGGTCACAGAGGGCCTAGATGGCCATAAATATCAGAAAGAGGGCTGCTGCTGCATGAATATCAACTAAAACACAGTGTGAGCATGATCGTGCCTTTATCCTGAAATCAGCCAGCCCAGCCTCTCCCCAGAAGGCACAGGAGAGCCCAGTCTCCTGTGCAGTCTCCTTCTGAGGGTCCCCAGCTCCTTGGTGATGGTCTGTGGGTGGCTTGAGTTCCTTCCACGCTCCTGCACCCTCCATCAGAAGCAGACCCATCCTAGCACTCCCAAAGAGCCCACCCAAAAGCCCTGACATTGGCTTTCCTCAGTGCTGTCCAACTGTGGGCACAGCAGGGATCTGTGAGGGAAAAGTCACCTAAGAAGGAGGAACTGGTCCTGTGGAAGTGGCCCAGGTGTGTATGTCTATGTCTGAGATGGAGACAGTGGCGTCAGCTGCTTCTGCCTGGGATGGCTGGTACCCAGACCTGGTGCAGGTGGTCCTGCACAGAAACCCTCCAGTGTCCACCTCAAGGGGGGTGTCTGTGTGGTCACCCCCTTGCCCAGAGCACCGAGGGTCCCAAACGGTCTGGCCTGCCTCTGTTGACTCAGCTTTGTTTTGAAGAGTGTGGTGAGCCTCAGGGCCACCCCCCTGTGCAACTGCCCTTCCTCTACTTTACCTCTCCCCGAGCAACAAAGGGCTTGATTATGATTATTTTAACTTCAAAGTCCTTCTGGTGGGCACAGCTTTGCTCAAAGGGCAGTCAGAATCTGGGAAAATATCTGCACCTTCTAAGAGTGTCATCAGGACACCAGAAGTACAGTGATAGTCAAAAACCAAGGTGGTGTTAAGCATCATCTTTTCAGGAAATTTAAATACCTACAGCAAGGTAGTCTAAGGCAACTCCTTTGCTCCCATTTTTGACTCCTTAAGGAATCTTCTCAGACATGTTTTTCCTGGTTGTCCTCTTCTGACATTTAAATACTGCAGATATGCTGTGTATCTGTTTACATACTGTGTGACTCTGTGCCGCATATGCAAAAGAGTAAAATAATTTCATCCCTGAGAACACAGGGTCCCCCCTGAAGGCTCTGCTTCTCCCATGGAGAGGGCATCAGAGTCTAGGGGATAAAAAAGTGATTCTACCAGGTCCAGTATATCATGGGGTAGACTTGGAGTAGCAGACAAGCCTTCCCCATACCAGGGCCTCAGGATGGTGGGGAGAGTGGCTGGATTTAGCAGACAAAGTACACGGAATATTTAGTTCAACTTCAGATGAAGAGATAATTTTTTAAATAAAAGTATGTCTATGTAATATTTGGCCATCATTTATTATATGTATCTTCTCGTAAGGATATGAAGTATGATTTTTCATTAGCAGGACAAATGTGCACCTCCATTTAATGAACCAGACAAAGGGGTCCAGATCACTTTTGATGAGATTTTTGTTTTCATGAGCTTCTCATTTTCGAGAAAGGAAGTAAAAAGCAGCCAAAAATATGCATTTTGATGAGGCTCTATTTTACAATAACAGTTAAGTTGCACTTGGATTCTATATGAAAATGTGTGCACCATTGCAAGTGGTGAAACAGACAGGAAGTGGATCTCACAGCATTCTGTGCACATGATTCTTACACCCCCGTGTCTCCCCACTCCAACCCAGATGACGCCAGAGGACAGCATCAACAAAAGATCCGAAGCAAAACTCAGAATTACCTCAACCTGTATGCGATGGAAGGCCTGCGCACCCTGTGCATTGCCAAGAGGGTGAGTGGGTGTGACCCCAGGGGGTGCGGGTACAGGTGACCACCCCAGCCGTGTATGGCCCTGGCACAGCACTCAACAGTGTCTCCATAGGTTCTAACCAAAGAAGAGTACGCCTGCTGGTTGCAAAGCCACTTGGAAGCAGAATCATCCTTGGACAACCGCGAGGAGCTGCTCTTCCAGTCTGCCATTCGCCTGGAGACGAACCTGCATCTGCTGGGTAACTTGCTTGCGAGCCCGTGTCCTGGGAGCAGTATGGAGTGTGCACAGGGGCCCTGATGGTGGGGGGGACGCGGCTCTAGCTACACCTTGGGCTTGGTAATGAGCTGCCAGTGCTGACACTGGTGCAGCCCCAGCTGGAGGGTTCTTGGTGAGCCCGAGGGGCTTGGGCACTGTCTGCCAGATACCCCTGCCAGTGTCCGCCGAGTCTTTCCTCAAACCTGCATCTCCACCAAAGGAGAGCAAGGCTCTGGCCCTCACTGGATGAAAGGATTTCACCCCTGGGAAACAGGAACTTGTGGGCCCTGGAAGCTGCTGCATTTGCATCTCTAGAATGTTTCACAGATTCAGTGTGGATGCAAAGGAAACAGGCTCATTTTTACTGAAATGTGTCCATAGTTCCTAAGTGTTCACACTGAGATTTAACAAATGATAATTAGTAGTAATGATAAGTTGAGGCATTTATTATAATAATACTTATTTTAATATTTACTGAATATTAATTTCCTATTCATTAAAGCATTTCTCACGTTAGGAGAGTCATTGCATCTGCGCTCTATGTGTCCTCAGAGGACCTAGTTGGAGGATGCTGTCATCAAGTAGTACTGCTCCTCCTCCCCAGAAGCCCGGGGGTTCCTCTTCACTTAGCACAGAAAAGCTGTCATGCACTTGGCCTTGTTTCCCAGGCACAGGAATCGGGATATCTACATCTACGTATCTAATGTCATAGCAATTGATACTTAATAGTGCAAGGTACACCAATCCTCACGCATACTTGCATGCACTTTATAAATATTCCATTTTGCCCGCAGTGTCTTGTAGGAGGCTCTGTACTGCTCAGAAGACCCTGGGTTCCAGACCCAGCTGTCTCATGAGTGGCTTCCCAGGCATGGGCTGAGTGAAGCACCTCAGACATGGCCGTGTCTGTGTTCAGCCTCTAGGCTTTGATTTACCAAACCAGACTTGCGCCCCTTGAGGCTGGGCTCCCCGATAGGCACTGCTGTGCAGGCCCGTGGGTTGTACAGCACTCGGCTGGTTCTTCTGGATGTGCCTGCCCCACCCGTCCCACAGCCCAGTTTTGAACCCTTTACTGTGGGACGCTCTTCCCTGGACACAGCCTTTCTCCTAGACACTCTGACTTCTCAGGTGGGGTGAAACATGTCTCCTGGTACCTTCTCCCACTGGTGCTGGTTCCACTTCCTGGAGAGTGCGGGCAAAATCTCTTTCCTCTTCCTTGACGATCTGGGGACACATCTGTGAGTTGCCAGGCTGCCCTTCTCCAGCCTCCCTGCTCTCAGAGTCTGAGAGCCCCAACTCGGTCGTCTAGCCCCGACGACGCCACTTGCTGCCCCTGTGCTTGGGCACACGGCCCAGTGTCCTCTGCTTCCCAGCTCTCTCAGCCACTGGGCGGGGCCAGCCATCGCAATGTCGCAGGCTCCTATGAGGGTGAGAAGAAGGGATGCCAGAGGCGTGGAGCTTGGGATGAGTGCAGGATATGGCACTCTGCAGCTGCGTGGTAGTGGGCCTCTACACCCACTCCAGCCCAGCCAGTCTCTTCTCTAAGCCTTTCTCTGGTGGTCAGTCACCCATCCCCTCCCTTGATCCAGCTGCTGCATCTCTGTTAACATATCCCACACTGTGAACAGCTGGTACATGTCTGACTCTGACTGGACTAGACAGCTGTTCACCTTCCTAGGTCTTTCCACAGGGATTTCTTTCCTGCTTAGACCCTGTGATTTTACTTGGGCAACTGTGTGAACATCTCAGTGCAGGGTGTTATACAAACTCCTGTCTCACTGCCTTCTGTGGGGTGCTCAGTATGCTGGTTACCAAAGTCTTTGATAATTCTGATTCTGCCATGTCCCACTGTCCTCCTGAGGCTGGTTGCTTCCCTCCAGGTGTACACTGAAATGGCTCTGAGATGCATCAGAGAAGCAACCACAGGGCTGCCTGCAGCTGGCGGGGTGTGGGAGCCTGCTGAGGCCTGCTGGCTAGAGCCCAGTCCCTCGCACATCTTCAGGAATACCTGCTGACCTTGTGATGCTGTGCTGATAGATTGAAGTCAGCCAAAGTGGGAGTGTTTACCCCAGAAATAGGCAAATGTGACACACCAGTGTCCCTCCCACAAACCAGCTGCTAACCGCTTAACTGCTCCTGCCACCTGGTGTGCTGGTGTTTCGTAGGTGAGAGCTGGCCTGGAGGGAGCGAAAGCCAGCCCCCACCTTCGGGTCACCACAATGCCAACCATGAGCGGGGCATTCTGGGAACTGTGTTCCGACTCCATGGCTTCATTTTTGAGAAAAGTGAAGTAAGTCATTTATATTTTTAATTTTTTTTTTAATGCAGGATATTACTTCATCACCCAAGCTGGAATGCAGAGTCATGATCATGGCTCATTGCAGTCTCAAACGCCTCAAACTCAAGTGATCCTCCCATCTCAGCCTCCCAAGTAGCTGGGACTATGGGTGCATACCACCATGTCTAGCTAATTTTTAAATTTTTTTGTTTGTAGAGATAGGGATCTTACTATGTTTCCCAGGCTGGTCTCTAATTCCTGGCTTCAAAAGGTTCTCCTCCCTCAGTCCCTAAAGTGCTGGGATTACAGGCATGAGCCATTACTGTACCCAGCCCCATTTTTATTTGTTAATATTCAAAACCAAATACCCTCTTCTAAATCTTTTCATTCGGGTGCTTATCTTAAGTAGCATCGGAGAACCACCAACAGTTAACTTCAGCAGAAAGGCTCACCATTCACATTGTGTTCTTGAAATTTTCTTTTTCATAATATCCATGACAGGAACCCACATTCAAAGGGCAGTCTTCTGCTTGTCTCCTCAGTGTCCCTAGCAGTTTCTCTGAATGTCATCTGAAACTCCTGTTAGTGAATCCTTTCCCCTCCCAGTAAGAGCCGCCTGACAAGACCACGGGGTGTGCAGTGGCACTGACTGAGCTCTGAATACCACCTACTACCAAGTTATGACACTCAGGAATGCCAGCCTCTCCCAAGGATCAGGTCAGAAAGATGGTGGCGATCACTAAAAGTCACATGAATTATATTGCAAGCATGCCACCTTGGAAAGCTGAAGAAAGCCACTGGGCTCCAGATTGTTTTAAAAGGGCTCCTCCCGTGGGTGCATGCTTTCTCCTCAGCTGTAATTCATGCTGAGGTGGCCATCTTTTGCAGACTCCACTCTCAGTCCAATACTATTCTGTGCTTGATTCACAATCACACTACATAGGTGAGGGTCACTGGGGTGACCCAGTAGGGGGCCCATGACTTTGGCCACAGTGCTCCCTAGCTAGATAAGTTACCTTTTCAAGGTGTTAGGTATTTCCTGAAAAGAGGCCGATTCCCTCCAGACTGGAGTTTCCTTGTGAGGCCTTCCCTGTTTTCTTTCTTGTCAGACTTTTTACTGAGGAACCCTGGCTGAACAGCTGTGACAAAAGGGTGGGAGACATAAGGCCCTTCTGGCAGGAAGCTGCCATCTAGAGAAGGGTGGGCAACTGGTGGGGTCATATGCCAAGCCCTTATAGCAGAAGCATTATCCTAGCAAACTGTCGGTCATTTAGTAAGGTTAGCCATTGTTGTGATTATCCCATAATCGGTTATCATCTTTAAGTATGCATGAGCTACTGTGAGCAACCGAGGCAAGCAAGACCATCCCTGTCTCTTCCCCCTGACATCGAGGAATGCATCACGGCAGAAGTGACAATCAGGATGAGCCAGAGACCCAGGCCACACACACTACCCCCCCCACACACTGCCCCCCACACCTCCACCCCAAAAGCTGGGGAGGGAAGAGAGGCCAAGACCTGGGTGTCCAGGGCTGTGCTCACAGAGTGTAGAATGTGACCTGGTTTCATTCCTGAGCAGGCCTGAAGCCCTACACCCTGTGTGGTCTCCTGCAAGGGACTCTGGCCTTAAGCTTCAAAACAGAGGGCAGCCTGGCTCAATGCCCCCTCCTCTTCTCTGCACCCTTCCCAAGTCCCCACTTAGCCTTCTGGAACATTCCCCACATGAGAGTTAGGCCCAGACTGCCTGAGCTCGATGAGAGAAGACCAGCCACCTTCCCCTGAGGGGGTTTCTGGGGAGTTGGTGGGGTTCTGCCTCCTGAGCTCTAGTGGTTACATAAGGTAGGGGTGCCTTAGTCCGTCTGGGCTGCTGTGACAAAATGCCATGAACGAGGGGCTTCAACAACAGACGGCTACTTCTCACAGTTCTGGAGGCTGTAAGTTCAAGATCAAGGTGCCAGCAGGTCTAGTGTCTGGTGAGGGCTCTTGTCCTGGTTTGCAGATAGCCTCCTTCTTGGTGTATTCTCACATGCAGATGGATAGATCATCTCTCTGGTGCCACTTTCTATAGGGACACTGATCCCATCCAGGAGCTCCACCCTCCTGACCTCATTTAAACTAAATCACCCCCCAAAGGCCCCCCACATCTGAATACTGTCACCTTGGGACTAGGACTTTAATCTGTAGGTCTAGGGACACCAGTGTTCAGTCCATAGCAGCATTCCCAACACAGCAGACAACGTGGCACAGATCCTGAAGGACTGATGAGGCCTCCGTCAGGGCTCAAGCCCTGGGGGGAGGGGGCCGGAGCTCTCGGGGAGAACAGGGAAGACAGAAACCATCTCACCAAGTTGTAAATAGATGAAAAATCCGAGGCAGGCCCAAGCACATTTTTTGTGCTGAATAGTGTATTTTCCCCAACGTACTGAGACCAAAAAAAGAAAAATCCACCTCTTGAATTATTTATGTGTGTGGAAAAAGCATATTCAGGATAATGTTGCTTTCAAGAAATAATGGGTTTTTCTATGCAGTCTGTTTTAATAGCAACTAGTAATGAGCATTGTTGAGAGTGAACATTTTGAATTTCGTTCACGAGGAACTTTATATGGGATGGATAATTTTTAAAACTTTTTTATCCTTCAGAATTTCATCATTCTCAACATCCTTTCATGTGCTGTGCTTTCAAATTCTCTGTAGAGTTGCAAGTTAGCTGTGTACTAGTCAGAAGTCGAAGTGCTTTGTTATAAGCACATAATTATGTTCAGTGACTCACAGTTATTCCTACACAGTCTCAAATGAGTCATGTCGGGAGCACTGACTGTCAGAAGTGTCCACCACTGTCCTAAAAGGGTGACTCCTCAAAGCGTGCTTCCAAAAGGGACTTCCTGTCACCTAGTGGCAGACAACTGGCAACCAAGCCCTGAGCAGTCCAGAGACTGTGCAGCACCTGTCTCGGGTGTCTTTCTGTGGGACATTTGTACCCAAAAAGGCTTTGGGAGCATGTGATGGGGTCTCACCCACACTGTCATCCCAGGTGCCACTGGGATTGAAGACCGCCTGCAAGATGGTGTCCCCGAAACCATTGCTAAGCTGCGTCAAGCAGGCCTACAGATTTGGGTTCTCACTGGTGACAAACAAGAAACAGCCATCAACATTGCCTATGCCTGCAAACTGCTGGACCAAGACGAGGAGGCCCTCACCCTGAATGCTGAGTCCCAGGTAGGTGGATTTCCGGGCAGCTCTGCTCCACCTAGGATGGCCTCATTCAACGTGACTCCTGTGGCAGGGCTCTTTGGGAAGCCCACAGGGGAGACTTCCATTTCTGGTGGCTGCGGTGAAGTGGACCCTTGCCCTCTATATTCCTGTTTGTACCTGTGTCATGTTTCTGGGGCTTAAGACATACTTATCACAGCCTTGGAAGATGTGGAATTTGCTGGAACGCACATATGGGCTTTATGAACGCAGAGTTCAGCCTGCTTCTTTCTGACACACTGTCCCTGTCAGTAGTGTCAGAATTTTTCATGAGGTCTCGTGTACCTGAAAAGTGGAGCCAGGACAGTGGTCTACTTGGCCCTGAGCCTCAAGACTGCTGGCTCTCCTGTGGATGCCCCACAGACACTGAGGGCCTTTCATCAGTCTCACTCGTCTCTTTCATTCACGACTCTGTGGGGAGTATCTACTTCATGCGCACTCTGGTCTGGACTACTCAGGTGAGCTCTCGTGTGAGGCGTCTCCTGGCACTGACTCTCAGGTTCACGAATGGGGCAGGGAAGCTTCTCACTGTCTACATCCACTCAATCAACCCACCCCATCAAGAATTGAGGACTGTGCCACTGGGAACCACTTGGGAGTGTCCCTTTCTGAGTGACTTTGGTGGAGAACATTTCTGCTCCCTGAGCTGTGGCAAAAGTCCCTGACCTGTCATCTGGTCTCTGGGGCTCCCACCTCTCAGCATCCCTCTGTGATACACCAAAGGCTGCCTGCCAATGCCCTTTGCCGACATCGCAGAGACACCACTGCAGTCTTCCCTCCAGCCACCCCTCCACCAGTCACATGCACCTGACCCCGTTGTATTCCATGGTCCAGACTCCCACCATCCTGAGACCTGCCCCCTCTTCACTTCCACAGGGCCAGAGCACTCCTTCCTCTCACGTCTTCTCTAGGCCCCCCTGCTTCAGAGCCTGTGCCTTGACCAGGCTTTTTGCAAATGTTACCTGTTCAGGAAAGGTGGAGATATATACTAAAGGGTTTACCTGATGACCTAGTCATTGCTTTTATTCATTTATTCATTTTTTTCATTAACATACGGTAAAATTGGCTTTTTTGGTTATACAACTACATGAATTTTGACACATGCACAGGTTTGTGTAACCACCCTGTGTTGAGGATGCAGGAGAACTTCATCACTCCCAAAACACCCTCACGCACTCCTTTGCCGTCATACGATCTTCCTTCCTTAACCTCTAGAAGTTACCGATCCGCTCTCCATAACTATGGCTTTGTTTTTTCCAGAATGTCGAGTACATAGAATAATAGAGGTTGTAACTTTTAGTGTATAAATTCTTGCATTCAGCATCATATCTGAGATTCATCTGAATTGCCGTATATATGCCCATAGCTTATTCCTCTGTATTGCTGAGTGACACTGTGGTTTGGATTGCCACAGGTTTTACATATCCGTTCACTCGGTGAAGAACATTTGAGTTGTTTCTGGTGTTTGACAGTGATGAGTAGAGCTGCTATAACAGTGCGCAGGTTTTTGTGCAGACGTGTTTTCATTTCTTTAGTGTAAGTGCCGAGGTGTGACTTGCTGGCTCAGGTGATGAGTATGATGAGTATGATAAGTATGTCTCATTGATGAGAAGCTGCCAGCCCATGTTGCAGAGCACTGTGCCATTTAATTAGCACTTGGTGTTGCCGTGGGTTTTCTGCCAGCCATTCTAATGGGCATGTAGTGATGTCTTGTTTTAGTTTGCATTTCAACTAGTGGCTGATGAAGTTGGACATCTTCCATGTGCTTATTTTCCACTTATCTTCTTTGATGAATTGTCTATTCAAGTGTTTTTTCATTTTTAATTGCATTGTTTGTTTTAATGTTCAGTTTTGATAATTCTTTATATATTCTGTACATGAGTTCCCTGTTAGATTATACGATTTGCAAATAGTTTCTCTCTATCTTGTCTTTTTACTCTCTTACGAGTGTCTCTCACAAAACAAAAGCTTTTAATTTTGATGCATTTTGAGTCATCATTTTTTTAATGTTATGAATCATGCTTTTGGTGTCTTGTCTAAGATGTGCCTAACCACGAAGATTTCCCCAGTGTTTTCTTCTAAAAGCACTGGAGTTTAGCATCTTATCTATGAATTCAGTTCATTTTGTGTAAAACATTTTATAATGTATGAGGTGTAGGTCACATGATACCTTTCTGCATATAGTTGTCCAGTTAATTCAGTACCGTTTGATGAATGTATCTTTTTCCCTCAGAATTGTCTAAATATCTTTGTCAAAAATCAATTAGTCATACTTGTGTGGGTCTGTTTCTAGTCTTTCTGTTTTGTTTTGTTGATCTATATGTCTATCCTTTACCATGCTGCATTGATTGGTTTTGGTAGTTTGATTGCTATAGTTTTTTTTAAGTCTTAAAAATTGGTAGTGTGACTCCTCTAATTTTATTCTTCTTATTCAAAATTGTTTTGGCCTGTCCTGCTGGAATTTTTATTTGAATTGTGCTAAATTTATAGATTAATTTGAGAAGTGAAGATATCTTTATTATGTTATCTTCTAATCTGTGAACGTGGTATGGCTCTCAATTTTTTTTAGTTCTTTTATTTCTTTGGTCAGCATTTTATAGTTTCCAGCATACATATCATATACATGTTTTGTTAGAGATATACCCAAGTGCATATGCTTCTCAGTTTATGATGGGGGGTTATATCCCAATAAACCCATTGTAGGTAAATTATCATAAGTTGAAAATGCATTTGATAAACCAATAAACTCATTGTTCAGTTGAAAAGTCTTTAGCTGAACTGTCGTATGTCTGGGACAGTCTAACAGCTTTTTATTTTTTTGAGGTATTGTAAATAGTGTTTTGAAATTTGTATTTTCTAATATTTTTATAGTATAGTTGACCTTTGAACCACATGGGGGATTAAGGGTGCCAAATTCTCCTACTATACACTCAAAAATCTGCATGTAACTTTTGACTCCCAAAAAACTTTACTAATAGCCTACTTTTGACTGGAAGCCTTACTGAGAACATAAACAGGCTATTAACACATATTTTATATGCTACATGTATTAAATATTGTATTATTACAATAAAGCAAACTAGAGAAAAGGAAATGTTATTAAGATAGTCATAAGGAAGAAAAAATATATTTACTATGTAAGTGAATCATCAATGTAAAGATCTTCATTCTTATCATCTTTGCATTGAGTAGGCTGGGGGTGGGGGTGGGTCTTGCTGTCCCAGGGTTGTCAGAGGCAGGAGAAAATCCACATACACATGGAACCCTGCAGTTCAAACTCATTTTACTCAAGAGTCAACTATATATAGAACTATATTGATTTTTGTGTGCTAATTTTGTATTCCATGATCCACTAAGCATGCTTATTCTAAGTTCTAGGAATTATTTTTGATTCCTTGGGTTTTCTATGAGACAATTGTATCATCTACTAAGAGAGTTTTCCTTCATCCTTTCCAATCTATGTGACTTTTGTTTCTTGTTCTTGCCTTATTGTATTGGCTAGAACATCCTAGTATGAGGTTAATAGGAATGGTGAAAGTGGACATCGCTGCCTTGTTTCTTATATTAGGGAGAAAGCATCAGTCTTTTACTACAACGCATAACATTAGCTGTATGTGTTCTGTAGATGCACTTTGTCAGGTTGAGGAGTTTCTTACATAAGAGTTTTTTATCATTATGTTGATAGAATTTATGGATGCTGGAGTTCGTCTAATGGTTTTTCATGGTTTTTTTTTCTTCTTCTTTAGGCTACTAATATGGTAGGTTGCATTAATTTTTCAAATAAAAAACCAGCCTTGTGTTCCTAGGATAAACCCCACTTTTTCGTGATACAATATTCTTTATCCTGTTTGCTAATATTTTGTTGAGGATTTTACCGTCTATATTTGTGACGAATGCTGTTCAGAAGTGTTGTTCTTTCAAACTCAAATTTAATATCAGGATAATGTTGGCCATCTTCTTTAATTATTATTAATAATTTATAAGGCCAACCTCAAATTATTTAGAAGTGTGTATTTCATTTCCAAATGTTGAGAATTACTCTGTGGTCTTTCTATTACTGATTTCTAGTTTAATTCCATTATGGTCAGAGAAATGCTTTTTGTGATTGCAATTCTTTTAAATTTGTCAAAGTTGTTTGTTTTTTAGTGGCCCAGGGTATGGCCTATCTTGGTAAATGTTCATATGTACCTGAAAAGAATGTGCATTTTACGGTTGTTGGCTGGTGTGGTCTACAAATGTCTATTATATTTTGTCAGTAAATGGTGTGTGATTCAGTTCTTGTGTATTAGGTGTCAGCAAATACCAGGTGTTCCGAGTTTCCCTGTGGCATGATGCCCCCTTTGTGTTTAGCACTTCCTTCAGATCAGGCCTTCTAGCAACAATTCCTGCTATTTTCCTTCATCAGAGAATGTCTTTATTTCACCTTCATTCTTGAAGGGTATTTTCAGTGAATACAGAAGATTGAAAAACTGTCGTCTCATGTCCTTCTGGACTTTATGGATTCTAATGAGAAATACATGGTCATCTGAATCATTGTTACCCTGTAACTAATGAAATGTTTTTATGTGGTTGCTTTCGGATGTTTTTTTCCTTTTTAGTTTTAAGTGTGTTTATCATCATATGTTTGGGTATGGATTTCTTTAGGTTTATGCTCTGGGATTTGCTAAACTTCTTGAATCTGTAGGATTATGTCTCTTATCACATTTGGGAAGTTTTCAGCCATTATTTCATCAAACACTTTTTCTGCACTCCACTTTTTCCTCATCTACTGGTAAACTGATGACATGGATGTTAGGTATTTTGGTACTGCCCAAAGGTCCTGGGGCTTTCTTCATATTATTTTTCCAATATTTTACTCTCTTGTTAAAATTGGATCATTTCCCCTGATCTGTCTTTTGAATTCACTGGTTCTTTTCCCTGTCATCTCTGTTCTGTTACTGAGCCTATTCAGTGAGTTATTTAAAATACATTTTATATATAGAATAGTTTTAGATGTACAGAAAAAAATTGTGAAGCTAGTACAGAGACTTCCCATGTCCTCCACACACAATTTATCCTAATATTAATCTTACATTAGCATAGCACATCAGTTATGTTAATGAACCAGCATTTATACATTATTACTTTCAATAGTCCATACTATATTCAGATTACCTTAGTTGTTACCCAGTGTCCTTCTGTCCTGGGACCCCATCCAGAATACCACATCATGCCTCCTTAGGCTCTTCTTGGCTGTGATTCTCAAACTTTGTTTTTAATGACCCTGACAGTTTTGAAGAGTGCCGGTCAGGAATTTTGTAGAATGTCCCTGTATTGGGATTTGTCTGGTGTTTTTCTTGTGACTAATGTGGAGTTATGGGATTGGGGAGGAAGTCCACAGAGGTAAAGTGCCATTCCCCTCACGTCATACCAAGGGCATGGACTGTCAGCATGATGTCACTGTTGATATTGACCTTGTGATTGCCAGGTTTATCTACTGTGAAAGAGTCACGCTTTTTGTTCCTTTCCATACTGAATTTTTTGAAGGAGGTCATACTTAAGGAGTGTGGAGTTACTGTCTACCGCCTTGAGAGCAGAGTATTGATTATATAAATGATTTGAAATCCAGTGAACTTTTAATTTCAGTTAATGTATTTTTGTTGTAAAATTTCTATTTGATTATTCTACATATGAGGGGGGAACCTCTCCAAAAATGAAATTTATTTATACAAAATTGCGTATTTATTTTTACATGTTTAAACTTCAGTCACCTTCAAAGGACTCTCCATTTGATGCAGTGCACCTATCAAGATGCCTTTTGCACTGCTCACAACAGTTTCTGAACTCGTTGATTTTGGTGCTTTTTAGTGCTTCTGCCATTTTTTTGTTTTGCCTCTTCCACATTAGCAAAATATTTTCCTCTGAGGATTTTTCTCATCCAGGGAAATAAACCAAAAAAAAGTAGATCAGGTGACTAGGAAGGGTGGGGCACAAGGGTCATGCCACTCTGGGTCAAAAGCTGCTGACCACTCAGCGCAATGTGGGCAGGTACCTTGTCATGGTAGAAGAACCTGTCGCCTGTTTCCACAACTCAGGACACAACTTTCTCACAACTTTCAGATAAAAACTTTAGTTGACTGATCTGAAGGAACAAATTCTGAGTGTACTGCCATGGGCTTTCCCTCCAAAAGATAATAGATAATTCCAGTTTGAGGTATGTTCCCCCTTGTATTTTTCCCCCCTAAGGCTTTCTGTCTTTCTATTCGTTTCCAGAGTGTTCACCCTTGCTTCTTGGAATAGTATTATAATGACTGTTTTAAAGTCTTTGTCTTTTAAAGTTTTTAAAAGGCTGTTTAAAGTCTTTTAAAGTCTCTGTTGGTAATTCCAATATCTGTATCATCTTGATTGTTAAGTGCTTCTAGTAGTTTTCTTTTTCTACACAAGTTGAGATTTTTCTGGTTCTTGTATGCTAAGAAGTTTTGGATTGTATCATGGGCACCTTGAATATTATACTATGATACTCTGATAATTTTTAACGTCTATGCAGAATGCATTTTTTTAAGCAGGCAGTCAACCCTGTTGGGTTTGGGTTCCATGCACTGCACAGTTTCTGGATGCTGAGTTCAAAAGCAGATTTGCATACTGTAAGCTGTCTCACAGTTTTGCCCCGTTAGCTTGGAACTTGAGTACCTTGAGCTCAACTCTCAAAGGCTTTGTTATGCTGCTTAGTCCATATATGCGCAGCATGGGAGTGAACCCAGAGATTCATACACTATATTGGGGTCAGTTAGCTAAGCTTCTCCCTCTTTACGATCTTTCCAGTACTGCTTGATTCTCCAGGAATCCCTCTTTGTGTTCTCTAGAAAGATAGCTGGAGTTTGAGTTTTCTTGTTCTGCCTTGTCTTTTTACCCCTTATGCACCCAGGGCCAGGTGGTTGTCAGTCCAAGAGGAAAGCACCACTGCTTCTCTGGAAGAAAGGAAAGCTCATCTTCCCCAAGTCCTTGGGTGCTGCCCTGTTGCTGCACAGCCTCTGTAGCAATGTTCCTGCAACTTGAGCCCAAGAGAATAGGGGAAATAGTTTCCTCCATCTTCTTTGAGTGTTGGGAGCTCTCTTTTTCACTACTCAGACCTGGAGTACTTCTCCTGGAACTCTCTCCGTCCCTGACCTGGAGCCCCCCGCCGGATTCCATGATGCCTTGGGCCAAGCCAGGGGCTACCAGAGCAAAAGTAGCAAACTCACCGCCCAGCCCATGTCCTGAGCATTCAGGGGCCCTTTCTCACATGGCTACCCCATGCTTTTCCCACAAGAGCACAGCTGCTCATGTAGGAGGTGTGTGGGGTGCCCTTGCCCCCGTCCCACCAAGAGCAGGCCTGGTCAGTGCTTGGTGTAGAACCAGGGAGCCCATGGTGTTTGTGCAGTGACAGTCTGCATCCTTCTGCCTTCCCCCGTTTCCACCATGTCCCTTCCCTACCTTGGAGGCACATTTGTCCTTCCGCTCTGTCTCCAGTGACCCTTTTGCACATCCTGGGTTGTGAGTTGCTGTGGCGAGTGTGTATGTTTCCGCTGCCTGTCTGTCATCCCAGGGGCAGTAACTGTGTCTTCTCAATCTTCTTTTCAGTCTGCCTTTTCTCTGAGTTTTCGGAATACAAAAGGCTCACCATAAGCATGTGCTGGACACAGCTGGATTTCCATGGTGTGCTGCAGAGTCGGGTCACTCACCCAGAAGACGTAATCCCTGCAGAGGGCTGGGAGCCACTGTGGTTGCCCTGAGTGTGTTCCTGCAACCAGTCCTCCCTTCCGTGCCTCTGACTCCTATCTCTGACTCCCAGTGTAGCTTGCCTACTTGTTTTCCTGTGCTTTCCTCCCCTCTCTGGAATTCAGATACAGTTTTGCCAATTAAAAGCCTCAACAATTATGCTTTTTCTTTTTTTTTTTTTCTTTTCTTTTCCTAGTGGAACTGAAGCGCTTAGGGACAACAGTGGCAATCACATTTCTTTAGGGAATACTAACAAAGGCTTTTAAAGAGTACTGTGCCCCACTGTTGGCACCTCAGCAGGAAACGAGAAGGGTTGGGCAAGGGCCTCAGAGAACTGCCGAGAAGAGTGCGGCAGCCTTCAGTCAAACCCAGTCTAACCATCCAGCTGGGCCTCCCAAAGTGAAGATGTTTCATTCTACCCTCTGTGCTGTGTCACGGGTGGTCAGGTAGAATCTTGGAGAATCTGCACCAACTCCTTCTCGCCTATGGGAAGCCTATTTCTTCAGCTGAACTTCAGTTTGCAGGGTGGCCTTTTGGGCAGCCAGGGGCTGCATCCCAGCACCTCGAAAGTGAGTAAGCCCTCAGGAAACCTTGTCCTCTCGTGTCTGTTTCAGGAGGCATGTGCGGCCCTGCTGGACCAGTACCTGTGCTACGTGCAGTCCAGAGGCCCATGTGGTGCTCCAGAGATGACCGAGGACAAAGCAAGCATGGGGTTCTCCTTTCTCTGCTCACCCTCCATGTCCGCAGTGCCTGGACCCAGGTTCAGCCTCGTGATCGATGGGAGAAGCTTGGCCTATGCCCTGGAGGGGAACTTGGAGGACAAGTTTCTCTTCCTCGCCAAGCAGTGCCGCTCCGTCCTCTGCTGCCGGTCAACACCCCTGCAGAAGAGCATGGTGGTGAAGCTGGTCAGGAGCAAGCTCAAGGCCATGACCCTGGCAATAGGCAAGTGTCCAAACCAACCAGGCAGGGCCGCCCCCCATAGCCACCCCACCCCACTGCTTTCTCCCAGCACGGCCTGCCCCTCTGACCCTCTTCCATGTTACACTATGAGATGGGAACACACGTCCTCAGCACTTTTCTATTTATAAAATCACATACATGATAAACCCAGCAGCCTGTTTCAAAGGTGAAGCCACAAAATAGAGTAGCAGCAGTTACCAGTGCATGTTGCGAGGTCAGTCATGCAGTACTGGTTTAAAACGATAAGACGGAGCTTATACTATTTCTTGGGAGGCAGGGCACCAGAGACTTGTCCATTCTAGCCCATCCCAGGCGTGGCAGGGGTGTTTCATCTTCAGCCCTAGCCAGGCTGACAGGAAGAAGGCCTTTGGCAGGTGCTTCTGTTTGCCATGAACCTCCGGGAATCCAAGGTTTATAACGCCATAAGGACCCAGAGTCTTGGCAGCGACCAGAATTCCCACTGCCTCCTGCCAGCTGAACTTTGTTCCAAGACAAGCATCTAATGAAAGAAGTTCACTCTGAGATAGGAACCACCGCTCAGTTTCACATCAGTTCCTTCAGGACTGTTTCTCATGGTGGTTTGTCTTTGCTGACACTGCTGGCCTGGAGAGTCTTTGGGGCCCCTCTTCACTGATGGGAGGGTGGCTGCTCCTGCTTCAAGGGTACCAGCTCTGCCCACTTCTGGTTGGGGTGGAACCTCTAGCACAGGGTCAGGGACTTGTCAGCGCCACCTCCTGGTGAGGGCAAGAAAGAGGCAGTGGCCTGGATCCCTAGATGCCCAACCAATAATTTGGCCTCCCTATAAAAATACTCTACCCCTAGGTGAGAGCTGGCTCGGAAACAGTGTCTTCACCAACTAATCAGTCAAGAATAACTGCAGTACATATATGCAGCACATATATGATATCTGCCTCGAAGGCACTGCAGAAGGTCACTGCTTGTTGAGATAGGCTTGTCACTCCAGGACAATAGACCCCTCTCCTGGCCAGAGGAGACCCTGTGGAACCTGTGTGTTGGGGTGCCAGGCGACTGAGCACATGCCTGCGTGTGGTTGTTGCGAGGACACAGTCCTGCACACCTGGAAGGCCTGGTGCCCACTAGGGAGAGTGTGCAGATGGACACGGGCCATGTGCTCAGGAGGCACCAGGGACATGGTCAGCCATGGCCCCCAGTCCAGGCCGAGGGAAGATAGGCGACTCCTCCAGGGATGGGTCCTCCCGGGAGGGGCCATCCTGGTGCTGTCTTTGCTTTCCTGTGCCTACGGTAGCCGTTGGATTTCTCTGAGGTACTGAGGAGGGTCTGCTGGTCAGTCTGCATCACCCACCGCCCACCCTCTGCCAATGAGCTTCAATGTCGTCCCTGGAAACATGAGGGCATGTTAGCCTCATGAGGCTGGAGTAAGACCTGAATGATAAACCCTGTTTTCCCAGCCTGGTCAGTGCCTAGTTCACCCTCTTAGTCATGGTGTCAGATAGTTGTTTAAGGGAGCACTTGTACAATCTAGGATGTATACAGTGATTTGGGCCAGTCTACTGCCCAGTTCCAAGAATGGCTCCTGCCAGAGAGTGATAGTAACTTTATGACTCTGCTGGTCCTTCTCCAAAGGTGTTGGAAACTCTGACCCATGCCTCATGTCCTAAACATTTTCTGTCAACAGCTTGAGAGAATAGTTCTCCTTTATTGCACCCCTTAGGGCCCAGAGATAAGCAATGTGGCTGTCTGGTCTTCAGTGCACAGAAAGCTCTACAATTTACAGGGCTGCATGTAACTTCCCTTGTCTAGCTTAGAAACCGTGGAGGTGAGGATAGGTGAGAATGGCCTTGGCTACTGTCCTGGAGTGGTTCAGCAACCATGATGGTGATGAAGATGGTGATAGCATCTTGCGTTGTGCCAGGCACCGGGATAAGGACTTCATTGAGGCAGGAGCAGCACTGCCTCAGCAGGAGACCAGTGCCTGCCTGCTTTCTGAAACACCTCCTGGTGTGGCCAGTAGCACCAGCTGTACTCCACGGAGCATTCTGACTACTTAGCAGGTCTCCAGAGCAGGCGCCACACTGCCTTCTCCCCAGTCTTCCCCAGGACTTCCTTACAGGACTTGATCCAGTGACAGCCCCAAGATCCCTCTTGGCAATTTGATTCTGTGCATCTCAACTCTAATGATGCCTCCTGCCTGTGCTGTTTCCAGGTGATGGAGCCAATGATGTCAGCATGATCCAGATGGCAGATGTGGGCGTGGGGATCTCAGGCCAGGAAGGGATGCAGGTAAGGACCCCTTGGTCTGCTCTGTGTGGACCAGGTGGCCCACTGGCCTTTTATCCTGTCACGCTGTGAGCCATCTCAGCCTTCCTCTGGGATTGGTCTAAAGCAGCTGAAGGGCTTGCCCTCAACGCAGCTGCAGAACCAGGAGTGAAGATGAGGTAGAATGTCACTCTTCCTGTTATGAAGCATGTGCCATAAGCCTGTCTTCCTATGTCACAAGTACATTTTTGTGAAGTACGTGGTTCCAAGAGAGGCAAGGTGAATCATTCTTCCATCTGGCTTTTGATGGCTCATCCTGGAAGGCACTTCTGACTGTTCCGAATACTCAGCAATGCCATTTGAGAAAATGACTCGTTGTAGGTGGAACCTGGTGTCACTCTAAAGGTGGAACATGGCCATCTTGACTCACAGGAAGAGTCAGTGCTGCATGTTTCATTTGTCACTATGCTCTCAACGTGTAATCCAGACGCTGAAGAAATGAGGCCACTAAAAATGTGCTTCTTTAGATGTTATGTTACAACAACTTCCAACATTTGATTAAGTTTGAATCACAACATTTTTTAACATGGTGGAGACTTTAGGGACCAATTTATCCATCGTTCTTCTAAAAATCAGAATGTTGACCACTGCTTATTCATTGGTTGATCCATTCACTGGTTCATTTGTTCAGTCAGTAGTTGTTTATCAAGCACTTACTGCTTGTCAGGTCTGTGAAGGGCTCATTGGGTTTTTAGTTGATGTTGAAATAACAGTCAGATCCAGGTCCCAGGTTGGAAGCACAGCCATTCTGTCTTGAGCCCATCCTTAGCAGCCTCCTGCCTTCATCTAAACCTACTCACTGTGTTCTGTTACTCACACCATTTATTTTTTGTGCCCCATGAAATTGAAAATGAGTCCCTATATGCCTGGCCTGTACCTCCTCATAGTGCCAAGCCCAGCACCAGGCACAAGGAGGTGCTTAGACACTTGGTGAATGAACAAGACACAGTTGACCCTTGAACAACACAGGTTTGACTGCATGAATCTACTTTTACACAGATTTTGCTCGATAAAAATTTTTTGGAGATTTGTGAAAATGTGAAAAAATTCACAACTGAACCACATAACCTAGAAATATTTTTTAAAATTAAGATCAACGTTCTGATCTTTAGAATGCATAAGATATATAAGGTACACTTCTATGTGTTAGTTGACCGTTTATGTGATCAATCAACAGTAGGCTATTGGTTGTTAAGTCTGGAGGAGTCAAAAGTTATACATGGATTTTTTACTGTGCAGGGCGTCCATGCCCTTAGGTCCTGAGCTGTCCAGGGTTCACTGAGGCTCATTAGTTCTGACTTTCTGGCATTGCCTTATCCTCATTATTTCCCGTAATGAAAAGCCAACGAGGGCAGTACCTGTCGGCCTCATGTGCAGAAAATCTTGACAGTTTTTTTAATCAGAGACTCAAATGTTGAACATGTGGCCAAGAAAGGGACTGGCCTGCCACCCCAGCCCCTCGTCAAGGTGGGAGATGAACCCTGAGATCTTGGTGAGAGGTTTGGCCTGAGACACAGCTTTGAAGAGGCTGAGTTTCCAGCAAAGATGTTGTTGGGTGCTTCTGGGTTTGTCTACAGCTGCACCTCTTTACTGGGGGTATGTTACATGAGACTAGATAAGACTTGCCTTTTCTTATTGTTGTACATGCTCAGGCTTTTCAGATGACTAGGACCCTGTTGCTCCCATTTTAGTCAGCTCCATAAGTGAAAGGACTGTGTGCCGGACCCTTTGAGAGACGGCCGGTAGGATGCTGAGGCAGAGGTATGTTAGAGATCAGAGGGAGCACGATGGGGAGGCTGTCCTGACCAGGGAGCGAGGGCTCAGTCTCCATGTACTCATCCAATTCCCCGTGTCTTGACCTACCCTCTAGAGCCAAGCACTAACTGGGAGCCAGGAGTACAGAGTGATTCCAACATCTCTGAATCTGGCTTTCATGGAACTTCCAGAGCAGCTGGGAGCTTTGACAGAGGGACAAGCATTGTGTCTGTGGTCTGGACTTGGGGTAGAAAGGAGCAGAAGGCCACGAGCCCTGCGGCATCCTCTGCAGGGTTCTGTCTGCAGTTCTCAGGAGCTGGGGTTTCTTCTTCAAAGTTAGTCAAGAGGTCTACCTTGTGGGTTGTTACATTTTTTAACAGCTGCTCCCTTTGCTGAATTTTTAGATGAGTTCGTGGAGGACAGGGACCATGACTGATGGTCTCTGTGTCTCAAAGTCTCTGCCCAGCAGCAGTGGGGTCTAATGAATGATTTTTGAGAGAATGAATCACGGGACAAGTGAATGAAGCATTAAAGAGCATACAAAGCCTTTTAAACCCCTGTGTTGACAGAAAAAGCTATGGAGACATTTACTTTCAAATTCTTAACTTTTGGTTTAGAAAACTGACATTCTAAGGTTTTCAACTTTTCAGCCATGCTTAATGACACTTCCATTTCAGGCATACCACACAGGATTAATTTACTTACTTTTTCCTATGTGTTGTTTGAGTGTAGGGAAATCAGTTAGATTCTAAAGGTAGATTGACCTTTTTGTGTACAATAACCCTCTGAAGATAAGCAGAAATCTAGCTTTTCCTTCCATTTGGTTTGATTTTCCCCCCCAATAAAGAAATTCATTATATGGTGGGTTTCAAGTTATTCTGGAGACAGAAGGGCTTGTTTTGAGGCATTTGTCTGGCCTACGCAGCTCTTAGTGTGCAAGCAGGTTTCTTGGCGGAGTGCAGGGGACACTGCAGACTACCTCAGACCTCCAGCCTTCTGCCTATGAGGGACCCTTGCTGCCTGTACTCCACCCTGCCTGCCATCCACTGCCTGCAGCCACATCCTGGGATGGGGCTGTGTGGAAGGCCAGAGGAGCCTGGCCGGGCCTGTCAGTCAAGGCTCCTGAGGAGAACAACCCAAAATGCACCTCCCAGAACAGGGGATCATCTGTCTCTGGTGCTTGGAAGGAGCTGCCTTGGTTCATCTTTGAGCTGAGACAATGGTAGACTTAGAAGAAAATGATATTGGGGGTGGAGAAAGGCAGGGATACTTCATGCACCTCTTGTGACTTGGGGCTTGGTGTTTTTCAAAAAAAGGGTGAAAAAAATAAAACCTTTAAAAAACTCATCAGTGGTGTGTATTTGAAACCTTAAGTGGGTCCTTTGAAGTGACATCCCTGAACTGGAGCGTTTGGTGAGGTTGAGATTGAGGGGGACAACAGTGACACAGGCCTTGGCCAACCATGCTCACAAGTGTATGAAACTGGATTTTTCCTTCCATGTCTTTTGCTTGTATTTTGGGGAGAGACGACAGACCCCATGCGAGGTGAGGCATCATCAGTAATGGGCACTCCCCTCCCTTTCAAGGCAGTGATGGCCAGCGACTTTGCGGTGCCGAGGTTCCGACACCTGGAGAGGCTCCTGATTGTTCACGGACACTGGTGCTATTCCCGTCTTGCCAACATGGTGCTTTACTTCTTCTACAAAAACACAGTAGGTATTTGATGCTCATCTTCAGAGGTTTGAGATCGAAAGACCCAAGACTTGTGGGACCATCGCCCCTTGGCTGTCCGTCGGTTCCATCCTCTGTGGCCTTTGTGAATGTCCCCCAGTCTTGGCCTGGCCGTGTGCCCTCTGGGTGCTGAGTCTGCACAGGGGCACATGTAACTGCACCTCTGAGGGGGAAGGTGGTAGAGTCAAATAAATCTCCCTAGAAAGTCACTTGTGGCTATGGAAATGACACAGTCATGAAGCCAGCAGCTGGCACAGTCACACAGCTGTAAGCCTTTGAGGCGGCATGCACCCTGGGCTGCTGACTTTCACTCCCAAGCACCTAAGCACTCTGTCCAGGTATTTCTCGGGAGCCTGTGCTGAGCTGTCTATACACGAGAGGCCTCTAATCAGTCTTCTCTGGAGTTGACAGAGAAAGTCACACGATAAGCAGAAGTGTGCTTCTGCATGAGAGACTTAGCTAGGCAGTGCTACCTGCACTGCATGGCCTCTGTCAGGACACACCCAACCAAGCCAGGCAGGTAAGCCCTGGGTCAGGGAACCCCAGACATGCAGGAGGGGGCCACCCATCAGGCCTCAGCCTTCCTTTCTGGGCCTGCAGGACAGATGTTTCCCCTCTGGCCAACTCAGTCTGTAGCTAAATTGACCCTCCAGTGATGTCACGCCTGGGCCAGTGTGACTGAGGACAGTCCTGTCTCTCTGGGGGCTTTAAATCAGGGCCCTGCCTAGTCTGTTTCATGTGACTCTTCACGTTTAACTCGCAGTTCCTTCATCACTCCTTGGCCGCTGGGCGTCTCCATAGCCCTGCAGGGTGGACCACGTGGCCATCTTAGAATGCTGCCCCACATACGAGAGATTTCTAGATATTCTGCTGAGGGGTTGTGAGTTACTCACTGTGGCTCCTGCCTCTGATAGCTGCAGATGAATGTACAAACAAGGAGAAAAATAAACAGGCTCTTGAGACGAGTGATCTTCCAGTGTAGTCCCACACATCTAGCTGTCTAGATACCAGAACTCCACCGTCAAGATTACCCTTTACTTTTCTGAAAAAGAATCAAATGAATTAATTAAAATATGTACTTCTCCCCCAATTTCATATGAAAATCTCCATGCTAGCCAACTCTACACTGTCGTCAGAACGCCTTTCGCTCACATTCTTATTTGTTTGTTCTGGGGGCTGCACTGGCCTTCTGTTCCTGGCCTCTCCTGCCTCCTCCCTCTCACCTGCTTTTCGAAACATTTTCCAGCAAATGAACATGGATGTTCAGAACCAATCAGAGCACGTCTAGTGTGGTGTGTTCAGTTCCAGACATTAATTCGGGTTAGTTTCTACCTGGGATTGTCTGTGGAAGTCTGTGCATGCTGCCCTGAGCCTGCTGGTTCACACCTCCTTTCCCCCTACCCCTGGCACTGAGTCCCTGGCCCAGTGAGGCCTCCAGCGAACAATTGTGAGCCTAGAGGTTCTGGGGTCCGCAGGAGGAGATAGGCGAGTGGGATGGGCCAGGGCAAACCCAGCCCTGTTTCTGTCACTTGGTAGTGAGGTCATGAGCTCATTATTTGTTGACTTTGAATTTGTTTATGTGTATTAAAAAATAGAACATATAAGTTGAGCCAGCTGATCTCGAACTCCTAATTAAGATTGTTCAGCTGGAGGATGGCAAGAACAATGTAGGCCAAACCATTCAACGATGCAAAGGACAGAATGGCCGCCTGTGACAGGCACGGCCTCCTTCCTGCCACAATGAGCACCTCTCCATTGGAGGGCATGGGAGGGAGAAGGGGGTGCCTGTTTTTATGCCATAAAAGGCAGGGTCTTTGTTAACAAGCGTTAATCTTTGTGAGGAGTTCAAGGATAATCACTCTGTCTCTTGAAATGAGAAATTCATTTGTTTGAGGAATGAGTTGGCCTTCCTTTCCACTGAAAACCAGAGAAGAAAAGTTTCCATAGCAACAGTGGTTTGGGAAGAAAGCTTTTTGGAAGTAGAGGGGGAAAAAAAATCTCAATTCTCAAAGTGTTTTTCTTCCTCTTTCTCTTGACTCCGTTCGCTCACCAATGACTCGTGAGGCTGAGCCTGTGGGGGAGTGAGAGAAAGTCAGCCCGCGTGAGGCAGGGACAGCAATGAGCACAATCCACGTGTGACTGTCTTCGGTGTGCAGGGGAAAGCTGCACGTGAAGAGGTCTAAGGCTCAGTGGAAATAGGACAGGGAACACATGTGCCCGGTGGGTGCTGCCAACACAGGCTACCATTTCTCCTCATCTTCACAGCATGCCATTCTCAGGTCAGAAAGCCAAAAGTGCAAAGAGGTTAAGGAACCCAGCAGGGCCGACATGTGGAGCGTTGCAACTCCAGCACCAAAACCGTGCCCAGCAGAGACTGTGTCCACCGTGCTGTGCTCCCCCTTGGGACTGTGCACTCCCTCCGGGCCAAGATCATCTGTGTTGAGCAAGTTGGGTTTTCTCCTCACACCGTGACCACGAGAGGGTCATTTAACATCTTGCGCCTCCGTTTCCTTTTCTCTGAGATAAGATACCCACCCTGCTTGAGCCTCACATAAAGGCACTGACGAGACTAACACAAGCAGCACCTCACTGCAGGTGAGCCCCTCCAGTGTGCAGGGACTCTGCAGATACTTCGGATACATCAGGTCCTTTAGTCCTCACAGCCCCATGGCTCGGTGTCACCGGTACGCCCGTGTCATGGGCCGAGAAACTGAGGCAGAGGGGTTCAATGAGCTGGGCCGAGTCGCACAGCTCCTAAGTGTAAAAATGATTTGTAGCCACTAAGCCACCTGGGCCCCCCATGGAAATGCACTGAGGCCACTACATTCAGGGAGGGATCCAGTGACAGTGAGGAGAGATCCAGTTCAGCCCCCACCCCTGCTGAGGGGGGCTTGAGGTCGCCGCTCATCTCCCTGAGCCTCACTTTCCTCTTCAGCCCAGCAGGGGTCCCTGGAAGGACCAGAGGTGGTGCTATGGCTCACCCCCCAGCAGAGCACTGCTGATGTGGTCCTCGGCTCTGCACTTGTCCTGGGGTGTGTCCTCCCCTCCATGGGTGCGGGGATTTCCCACTGCTCTTCTCAGGAGGGGTATAAACTACAGAGGAGACAGGGTCAGGGCTTCAGGGACAGGTAGGCCTTGAGGTCATGGGCAGGGAAGGTGTGCTCAAGAAGAATCCACTGGAGTGCAGGCAGGCGGCCCTCGTCCCCCATCAAGCCTGATTTTGTTTTATGTTAGTGATCAAGCACAAAGCCTCAGGCCTCCAAGGGAACGCCGATTCGTACTGCCAGTCGCTCAGCATAGGGAATGAGGATGAAGGGAGGGGAGAGGCAGAGGGCAGCCATGGGGCCGAGGCCAGGGCTGTCTTTGGGAGAAATTGTTGCCTGTATGATTAATCTTTATAGTAAAAAACTCTGCAGAGCTATCAGATCCCTTGGGTGAGAATCTGCAAGGGTAATGGAAGATTTGCTGCTCTCATGCTTCCTTTCTTGGTTTCAGATGTTCGTGGGCCTCTTGTTTTGGTTCCAGTTTTACTGTGGCTTCTCTGCATCCACCATGATTGACCAGTGGTATCTAATCTTCTTTAATCTGCTCTTCTCATCGCTTCCCCAGCTCGTGACTGGGGTGCTGGACAAGGACGTGCCAGCCAACGTGCTGCTGACCAAGCCACAGCTCTACAGGAGTGGCCAGAACATGGAGGTAAAGCTCCCCTGAGCCTCGGCCTCCTGCCCTCTGGCCTCCACCCTCTACATTCATCTTCTAGAAAGTGCAAGTCCCCCAGTCTTCCTTTGCATGGATACTCTGGACAAATCATTGAAATTCTCGAGTCCTACCTGAGGAAGGAGAGAGATGGGTGCTCTATGCTTGACACGAGCGCATGTCTCCACCCCGAGAGTCTCTGGGAGCCTGAGGAAACCCACACAGAGGCCGAGTCAGCCACGGGTGGTCGCAGAGGCCCGAGCAGGGGTTTTCTAAAGCAAGCAAAAATGATTTACAGGGAGGGGCCCAAAAAGTTGGAATTTATTTATGAAAAATTGTGTATTTATTTTTGCATATTTAAGCTCCAGTCACCTTCAGAGTACTCTCTGTTTGATGCAGTACACCTATTAAGATGCTTTTTCTACTGCACCAAACAGTTTTGAACTCATCAATTTGGATGCTTTTTAGTGCTTCTGCTGTTTTTTATTTCACCTTTTCCACGTTGGCAAAACATTTCCCTCTGAGAACTTTTTTCATCTGGGGAAACAACCAAAAAAAGGTCATTCGGGGTGAGATTGGCTGAACAAGGATAGTGGGCACAAAGTTCATGCTGTTTTGGGTCAAAAACTGCTGAACACTCAGCACAGCATGGACAAGTGTGCTCATAAATCACCCATCATGAAGTGGGCAAATGTGTTGACAGAATCTCCAAAAAAACACAGCCTTTCACAACAACACAAGCTGATACCCTGATGCCAGTGGGTTCCTGGAACACTTAACTAGCAGGGAAGCCTGTACTACAAGGGTCCATCCTCCAAAAGATAATTCCGGGGGTGTTTTGGGTCCCCCTCATATTTTTTTTTGGGGGGGGGTTTTGAGTTGGAGTCTCTGTCGCCCAGACTGGAGTACAGTGGCCACTTCCGGCCACCGCAGCCTCGACCTGCTGGGCTCCGGCAATCCTTCCGCCTCAGCCTTCGGAGTAGCCGGAATTACAGACGCGCGCTACCACGCCCGGCTGATTTTTTGATTTTTTGTAGAGATGAGGTCTCGCTGCCCAGGCAGGTCTCAAACCTGCGGGCTCAGGCAGTCCACTCACCTCAGCCTCCCAAAGGCACGGGATTATAGGCTGAGACCCTCATATTTTGAATGGGGATTAATAAACCACTGAATTGTTGAAAAAAACAGATGTAAATACATGTTTATATCAATACACCAGATAGCTTGGCACACTAGTGACCAGCTGTTTCTAGCCTGTCATTAAAGTAAAGCATCTAAGTTCTCCTCTTTGGTGGGTTTGAATTATTCTGTGTGTGCGGAGAGAATATGGAGTCCCGTTTCTCCTACAGTAATCTCTCATTCAGAGTTTGTTCATTAATGAGTTAACATCCCCCTTGCCACCCCGTGGATGTCATAGAAGCAGGCCCCACAGGGAGCAGGAGAACAGGGGTCAGGCAAGTATAGATGAACTCTCTGCTTGTTACCTGTCACCTTGGGGGAAGTCCTGTCCTTAGCTGACTGAGGGTTGAAGACACTGGGAGTCTGTCCTGTGGAATTAGGTAGCCGACAGGAAAAGCCTAGCCAGCACCATCCCAAAGCGCTCAATAAGCGTGCCCTTCATCACTCTGCGTCTCTTGCAGGCAGTTTCCATGCCAGCTGCTCAAGGACTCAGCAGGGTCCAACACAAATGTGGTCACCCAGGTGATGAGGATTCTGTTCATCCATATCAAGGCTATGTTTGCCCCTGGGGATGTAACTTTTGAACTGTAACATTGAGGCAGCCATCTTCTAATTTAAAGTGAAGATTTGCTTTTAAGAAACATTCCAAGGGACCCACCACAAAGAGAAGCAACGCCTCAACACAGTGGAAGGCGCAGAGGGCTCAAACTGGTGGAGAGTGCCCCAGAATTCCAAGTGCTAGTCTTCCTCGAAAGACATGTTCCCTTGTGTAAGATCTGGAACAGTGATCTCTGCATGCACCGAGAACTGCTGGAGCGTGTCTTGGTGTGCATGCTCCCAACGAGTGACTGAGCTGCAGAAAGCTCTACCAGTGTTTTGTGGTGTTCTTCACTGTCCCCCCTCCACGGGCCTCACCTCCTAAGACAGCAGGCTTTCCTCAGGTGCTTGACTTGTGCATTAACATGTGTAGCATTCCAGAAAATTTGAGGTGTCAACTTAAATAACAGAGAAGGGCTCGCTCAAAGAAAATACTTACTTGGGACAAGGATGTTGCAGTGGGAATACACATGCCATAGTAAACTATGTATACATTCAGGGGGGTAAAGAAAAAACGGAAAGGATTGCAGAATTGCTTTTGAGATAACTACCTTTGGCTGCAAGCATCAATAACAAGGCTGGTGCCTGCTTAAGTTGGCCAGGGAATTGCTGGGCAGGTGTCTTTGCAGGAGTATTTTTGTGCAAGGTCATGATGGCCTTTGTGCAAGGCTGCAGTTTTGCTGAGTCTTTTGTGATAGCTTTTGTCATTGGGCATCTATGTATGAGAACCTTCCATTATGGCCTTTCTGGCTCTACTTGCCAGGGTTTTTTATTTATTTGCTTTTTAACACACGTGACTTCGTTTTTATCCTGACACCTTTCACAGAGGACGTGAACACTTTCTTGTAATCTCCCTGTTTTTGTGTCCCAGGAATACCGGCCGCACACGTTCTGGTTAAACATGGCCGATGCCGCCTTCCAAAGCCTGGTCTGCTTTTTCATTCCTTACCTGGTAAGTTGGCACCAGGCACACTTTTGCTTATCAACTGTATCCAGACACACAAACACAGGACATCGCTGTCTTTTAGGTCTACTATGACTCAGACGTGGATCTGTTCACCTGGGGGACGCCCGTCACGGCCATCGCGCTGCTCACCTTCCTAGTGCATCTTGGCATTGAGACCAAAACCTGGGTGAGAGTGACTGCAAAGTCATATCCCAGAAGGACGCAGGTGCTGCAGGCCCACACCTCCCTGGACTCCATGAGATCTTGGAGGTGTTTTAAGCTAATGGGAGACTGCAGAGCTGACCTCACTATAATGAAGAGGAAGATGGCAGACTCTGAGTCCCTGGTGTGGGAGTGAGCAGTGCCTGACTTCCTCTTCCCTTCTTTTCTCCCTTGCCCCACACTTTCTCCTCTCCCCTTTGTCTTGGCCGTGTGTCCCTGACTCCAGATCACCATCTGTGTGTGTCCCAGACCAGTCCACAGGTGACTGAGGCTTCAGTGAGCCCCACTGCCTGCCCACAACTAAGACCTCAGTTTTTACTAAGCCCCTAGAACGTCACACCCACTCATGGGTGACCAGTGCATTTTTGTTGTCAGTGTTGTCACTTCTGAATTGAAGTCAGCGTCCTTTCTTTCTTTTTGCTCCCTAGACCTGGCTCAACTGGATAACCTGTGGCTTCAGTATCCTTTTATTTTCCACGGTGGCTTTGATTTACAATGCTTCTTGTGCGACGTGCTATCCTCCATCTAACCCTTATTGGACTATGCAAACCTTACTGGGTGACCCTGTGTTTTACTTGACTTGCCTCCTAACGCCTGTCGCTGCACTGCTGCCCAGGTGAGTATCAGAGAGAGATGGTGTCCCTGAGTCCCAAGTGAGCTCAAGGAGCTTATGTGTTGCCGTTGTCCTGGGTCAGTCTCAGGAAGCTCAGCCCCACCACCCACGGCAGTAGCTGACTTTTTTATATGTGCTCTTTCCAGGTTATTTTTCAAATCCCTCCAGGGGAGCCTGTTCCCCACCCAACTTCAGCTGGGACGACAGTCGGCCAAGGAGTCCCCCAGGAAACTCAGCACCCCCAAAGAGACCTTCACTCAGGGACACCTTCCAGGAGACCTGAGAACGGAGCACTCAGAAGGGAGGACCGTCGGGGCCTCTGTGTCCCTGTCCCAGGACTGTGCCTCCCAGGGCTCTTGGCACACACAGCAACCTGCCTGCCCCTCAGAGGCCAGCGGGGAGTCCAGCGTGGTGAACACAAGTGTGCCGCGGTGGGAGGACGCCCTGCTGGAGGGGCTGAGCACACAAGCCCCGGGGTCCTCCTTGCCGGGGGTGGCTGCTCGGGAAGAGTATCCTGAGGAGTCCAGGATGAAACCTGGCAGTGCCAGCCGGACAGCGCCCCTGCCGTCCCTCTTCCCCCTGCCGCACTTCAGCTCCCTCAACTGGATCTCCTCCCTGTCGCTGGTCAGCGGGCTGGGCAGTGTCCTGCGGTTCTCCCAGAGCAGCTTGCGGGGAGACAAGCGGGACGTGGAGCTCCCAGCCGGGCCCCCCCAGGCAGATGGGGACACAAGGGGACACACCACAGACTACTTCTAGGAGCCCTTCGAGGCTGTGCCCTGGCTGCAGTCGCCATTGAAAACCTTGAAATGGCCTTTTTCTATATAGCATAGATGTTAATATTATTTATGTTTATTATTTGCACAGAAGCATTCTAGGGAGATGTATTTTTAAATGTTTTCAAGGCTAACATAGGAAACGAGGTACCAAAAAAAGAAAATTTATTTTTTAAAGTTCTAAGTAGAGTATATTGAAAAGAAAAATAAGAGCTTTAAAGTATATCCAAGTTTAAAGAGGGACACTTGAAAAGTGTGTTTAGATTTATTTTTTCATCTCATTTTGTAAGAAGATACAGTGTTATTTGTCTTCAACACGCATGACCCTTGCTTTCCCTGACTATAAACGTGGCTTAAACAGCAGGCGTGCACACGGGTGGCAGCCAGCAGGGAGATGAGGTGGGGGGCAGAGGCGGATTGCACTGGCTTCCAGTTCCACCCACAGGAGGCTGGGCTCCACCTTGCCCCCAGGAGGGAGAGTGAGGCCCCAAGAAAAGTTCATGAAGTTCATTCCAGTGTCCAGTTCTGCCCAGACATTTCCTAAAGGTTGCCTGGTAGGTGGCCAGCCCCTCTTTTGTGTTTTGCCTGTTAAAATCATGACAAGCAATAAACAACCTTCACTTGGCAAAGAGAATGCATCTGGCTGCCATGGTTGTGCGAAGCGATGAATACCTGACCTGACAGAGTGTGTTCTGAGTGCCGCAGGGCGCTTCCTCAGGGTGAGTCCTTTTAGACACCAGGGAGACATGCAACCCACTGCTCAGAGCCTGCTGGGCCACGGCACCTTGTACCCCAGACTCTCCTGCCAAGGACCAAGCTGTTTAGGTGTGTGTCTTCAAGCATCTGTCTGCTGAGCCTTTAGTTCTGTCTCTCTCAAACTAGAAAAGGAAAAGGAGAAATGGTGTAAACCGAAGACAATCGCATGGCATTTCCTCCTCTGGGCCCTTCTTTCCACCTTGTCAAAATGTCACTAGGCATGGACTCTGCTCAGCAGGGGGTCATGAAGCAGGTAGGATGTGCAGCCTGCTGTTCAGGGTGCCTGTCCCCAAAATAACGGTGCAGAGAGGGCAAAACACTGATGACATACTCCAGAGTGTAGCCTCATGGGAGAGAATGGCTAGTTCTCCAGTGAGTGTAGTTCACTGCAAGGAAGAAAATGCGCGTCATTCTGGTGAACAGGATGGGAGGGCATGGGCTCACTTTCTGCAAGTCCAGAGAGGGGTTGGCCTGCAGCACTCAGCAGCTAGACCTGGGCTTTTCTTCCTTCTCCCTCCCTCAGCTTTCCCAGGTCAGTGCTGTCCCGAGGCTGCCTCTGTTCTTGGGAACTCAACAACTGGAGTCATCTCTGGACTTATCCACACATCACACAGTCCTGAAGGGGGAAGGACACCTCTCCCCACACTCCACAGAGTCCCAGTTTCCTTAGCCTCACCCTACTTAGGTGGCACGCCATCCTCAGAACCGGTTGCTGGTAAGTTGAAGGGAGTGTCCTGACAGGCTCCCGGCTGGATGAGCACCTGAGCTCACGTGTGGGCCTCAGAGGAATATCTGTGTCCTGTTAGATGAGGGAGACAGAAGAGGGTGGGAGGCAGTTTCAGCAGCCAGCAACGCCAGACAGAAGGTGACAGCCATCCCAACCCTCCTCTCTTCCCCATCCATGTCCGATCTACCTTATCTGTTCTTGGAGCAACATGAACGAATTTCCTTGGGAAGGTGCACAACACTGCTGCTTCCCAAGTTAAAGTAATGGGTTAGCAACCATTGCACAAAGTACAAGAAGAAAAACTAGAAGCTTATTTACCCAGCTATCTGAGAGCTCAAAATGTCCCAGCTTCCAGATTCTCCTCCACTCACAAGCTACCTTCTATCCAGGGGACGTCTTTCCTTCCTCAGGAAATGGAATCATCCAGGCAGTAGCTCCAGGAATATGCATACCTCAGCCAGCTTAGAGAAATGAATCTCATAAGTAGCAATGACAGTTACCCACTATTTAGGATGAAGAATATTCATAGAAATCTACAATAGTAATCCATAGCAACCAAGTAAGTCTGATCTCAAAATAAACATGATATGGGAATGAACCTTATGACATATCAGAAAGTACTCGGTGAAATACACTACCAAATCTTAATAACTAAAATAAACAGGAAGGCCGACTTTCTGAGACTGGCTGTGCTCTGGGCCACAAAGTAGCTGAATTAGTTATTTAACAGAACACAGTGTGCCTGTTTTAAAGTAAAAACCAATTCATTTTAAGTACTTGTAGGTTGGATATTGTGCCCCCTTCACCTTGTGTATCAGTCTAGCAGTTTGAAAGTGCTGGGTAGATATTTGATGAATCCAAGAATAACGGTAATGGTGAAACACCAAAGGCATTCCTGTTAAAATCAGAGGCAAAAGGAAGTTACATGTTATTTAATGTTTTATGGAATTTTTGGCTCATGCAATGACAATTTTTTAAAGAATGAATATTGGAATGTTAGAGACCAAATTACCATTACTTGTATGTAGTATGATTGTATATCTGGAAAATCCAAATGAATGGTTTTGTAAAAAGTTCTCAGAACTCAGGAGAGGAAGAATCAAATAGACTGAGGAAAACAGACTGCAGCTTTCCTGTAGAGCAATAATAACCAGTTAGACATTAGAATGGGGTAGGCAGAGGTCTCATTTACCAGCACAACACTAGCTCTAGTAAAAATTAAAATGCTAGCCTGGGCAACTTGTTGAGACCTCACCTCTACAAGAAAATTTTTTTAAAAAATTAATTAGGCATGGTAGCTCACACCTATAGTTCCAGCTACTTGGAAGGCTGAGGTGGAAGGATCGCCTGAGCCAAGCAGGTTGAGGCTGCAGTAGCCATGTACATGCCACTGCACTCCAGCCTTGGCGACAGAGTGAGACTCTGACTCAAAAAAAAAAAAAAAAATTAAAATGCTGAAGAAGAATCTCAGTAAGCATAAAGACAATTTATCTGATTTTAGGAAGATGTCTATCAGTCTTAACTACAAGGACATGTCTCAGTTATAGGTGAGAAAACTGAGTATTATAAAGGTGTTGCATTCCAGTTTTTTAATTTTTACTTTTTGGCTTTTATTGTTTAGGTTTTTTTTTTTTTTAGATTAACAGAATGGTTCTAGAGTTATTCTAGAAGGATATACAGGGAAACCATCAAAGAAAATTCCAACAAATAAAAGCGATGAAGAGATCAGAGAGTAAAATATTCTATAAACTGTCAGTGCTTAAAATAATGCAACATTCATTCAAGAAAAGATACATAAGCAGAACAGACTAGATGTATCATTTTACATATAAGAATTTATGCTTTTAAAAGGGTCAAGAGTCAGCGAGAAAGAGATATTTACTAAATCGTGTGACTAATTGATGTCTGGGAGGGCTGCCCGTACCCAGAGCTGCTGAGGAGACGGCTGCCCCAGGCTTTAGATGTTAAGTTTAAATCTTAAACTTAACACCTAAAGCCACAGGAAAACTAGAAGAAATTGAAATAAAGTATCAACAAATTCCTAGGGAAGATGGCCCTTGAGGCACTGGGGCAGCTCTAGGGGTCCTGCCTGCCCTATGGTTCCAGGCACTGCCCCCAGGCCCTCCTTCCCACTTGCCCCTCTGAACTGTGCTCCATGTAAGGCTTTTCTCACCCTTCCTGGCTTCCTGTTTGCCCATTTGGATTTGGCAACCTCATTCCAAATTACAACCTGACGATATGGATCTGAGCCCTCCAGGATGCTGCTCCTACAAGCCCCTCTGGCTCCACACACCAACCTTCCCATGGGGGCATGGGGCCAGGACCATCACCTGGCCTGGTCCAAGGACCTCCCCAGAGCAGGTGCTATGTTGAGGAAATCTGACAGGAGAGATAGCTGTCCCATTGAGGACTGACAGATAAAACCCCTAAAGAAGAAAACCCATTGCTCTTTAAAAAAAAAAATCAACATTCTATGTATTCAATAATGATCAAAATGGAAAGACCAACCCCATAAACATGGAGAAGAGCTTTGTGATACAAATAACATCTGTGACTTGGTCAAACAAGGATCAAGACACTGGCCAAAGACTGATGAACTGAGCACTCACATTTTGAAGTGGGAACAACGCTTCTGGAAAGGAGCTTAGCAGTGCAGAACAGGATGTCTTGAACACATTCATTCGACACCAGAGGATACATTAACTTAATTTGACACCCTTGTAGACCTGCCTATTGGATTCATTGGTTCTAATGGATTCATATCTCATGGACATTTCTGGATCCTAATATTGAAACACAGCATAGCGTACAAGGGCAGGGAGAGACTAGATATCTCGGTGTCACAAAATGGAAATTCTGGTCTTGGCTTAGCCACAGAGTCCCTGTGAGCCCCAAAGTGTTACTTACTCTTTGGAATCATTATCACAGTTGGAATATGAAAGCATGCAAATAATTAAGTCTTTCCAGTTCTAGAATTGAACTATTTATGATAGATTTCTAGATTTGAAAAAGAAAGGGAAGAAAGTTGGCACTCCTGTTTTAGATGATGTAAGCTGCTGCCTGGACCCAGAGCTGCTGAGAAGACAGCTGCCCCAGGCTCACGCTTCCTTCTGCTTCCAACCCTCGTCTTGGTTTCTGGATGGACCACAACTCGGCCCCTGCCTTAATTTTGAACAACTTTGAAGGGTCCAACAGCTCAAGAGCTCCTGGTAGGGTCAGACAGTTGCAGCTCAGGCTTCTCTCTGTGGAGTCCTGCCTCCTCACCTCCACTTCGGGGTCATCCCTGAGGGCATTTCCCAGTAAACTCTTACACACGCATTTTGTCTCAGAGTCTGCGTCCTGGACTGCCAAGATAAAGCTACTCCCAGAACAAGAACCAGTTACCCTGGAAGGAGCTGACTTCAATCATTCAACACCAAAATCTAGATGCAAAATCACAGAAAGCTTAGAAAGCTTAATATAAAATCTTAAATGCTTCAATACATTTCTGTATTAACATTGTTCCTGTTGTCTTGAATTTGTTGGCTATGAGTAGAACAAAGCTTCTTTTAACAATTTTTGAAAGTAGATAGATACTGTGGCCTGGTGTCTTCTGGGCCCGCAGCACTCCAGCAGTCCTGATCCACATCTGCCTGAGGTTGCGTGCCCAGGAAGTACCTCTTCCCCAGGGTACCTTCCTCTCCTTAGTCAGAAGCACTCTCACCTCTCTCTTCCAGATGCCAGTTGGCTCACTTTCTTCTCAGTGCTCAGATATTCCTGTGGGTGTCCGGATCTCCTTTTCCAGATTATTAGCTCTTCAAGAGTATAGTCTGTGATTCTCCAAAGTGACTTTTTCAATAATTATCCTTTAAAAAAAATTATATTTTAAAGACGTGGGGTACAATTCAGGGTTAGGTATATAAATGTTCATTATTCAGGCACCCTTGTGGATGAGGTGTGCCCTCCCTGCCAGCAGTTTCTCATTACTGTCAATCCCACCCTCCCTCCCCCGCAACCCCACTCCCCTGGCACTTTCCACTACTGCCAATTCCTTTCTTATGATATTATGATAATTGTTCAAGGATCCTTATGAGTGAGAACATGTGGTACTCAGTTCTTTCTGTGAAAGATCACTCAGTATTATAGACTGAGTCCATCCAAGTTGCTGCAAA